TCATCTGTCGAACTATCCATCACTCATCTATCCATCCATCTACCTAATCATCCACCCACCCATCCACCATCCACCCACCCATCCATCCATCCACCCACCCATCCATCCATCCATCCATTCATCGAACTATCCATCCACTCATCTATCCATCCATCCACCTAACCATCCATCCACCCACCCATCCATCTATCCACCCACCATCCACCCATCTACCTATCCATCCACCCATCCACCCACCCACCCACCTGTCCATACATCTCCCACTCACCCACTCATCTCTCTATGTATGTCTACCTACCCACACTCCCTCATGCCCGCACCCAGGCAGCCACACCACCACATTGATAATCACAGCCCATTCACACTCAGCCAGGTGTGCCAGTCTGCAGATGGGCCACTTCCCTTGGTCACAGGTGTGCATGGTGGGGTGGGAGGGGTCTCCCAGTGTGCCAGGACCAGTGCAGGGAGAGGAGAGCGCCCCTTCCTCCCACCGTCCCTGCCCCAGCCTGGCACCCACCCTCTGGAGAGGGCGGCCCAGATGGCGGGGCGCCTCCCCCTCAGCTCTCAGGGAGCTGCCCTTGGCGGTGCAGCCCAAGCAGCTGGGTGAGGAATGTGCTTCCTTTGTGCGCCAGCCATAGGGCAAGCAGGCCGACATCTGGGTCCTGTTTTGCGTTTTGCGGCCCTTGGAGAGATGGAGTGTTTTCATTCCAGCCGCTTTGAGCTCTCCACCCTCCCCCACCTTTTAACCCTTTGCTCAACTCCAGGATGCTGAGAAGACCAGGCCTGGCACCATCCGCAGGGCCTTGGTCCGAGGGCTTGGGGCATCTGCGTTGGTAGGAGCTCTGGGCTTCGAGGCCCAACTGAAACCCCAGATGCTTGACCACATGGGCAGGAACACAATGGCTCTGACCCACTTTCCCCCCAGGAGCCACAGTCACGCTTCATTTCTTGTCATTTTGTGTGCATTTGTTTATTTACGGGGTAGACTTGCATCCTTGGTCACCTCTTGGTTTTTACTCCTGAGCCACTTCCACACCATTGGACAGTGTCCTGACACTGACAGCATCAGTTTTGCTAGTGAGCAGGTATTTGAAGTACAACACACACATGGAAAAGTGTACAGCTTGAACTTTCACAGAGTGTGCCAGATGACAAACATCACCTGCCCTGCCCCCAGGCCCCTCGCCGCTCGTGGTCACTCCCTGTCAGGGGAACCTCTGTCCTGACTCTAACACCATCGGGCAGTTCGGCTGTTTCTGAAGTTCACATCAGTGGAACCACAGGGCACCTGCTCTTTCGGGTCTGGCATCATTCGCTCAGCCATAGGTCTGTGAGATTCGTCTGTGTTGGTGCAAGTGGCTGTATGTGTCCTTTTTCTCTGCTGTATAATATTCTGCCGTATGGATCTGCCACACTCATTTGCCTCTTCAGTTCTTGATGGGCGTTTAGATGGTTTCTAGTTTGGGCCTTTGTGAGAAAGTGGCTAATGAATTTTTTTTGAGGTAACATTGGTTTATAACATTACATAAATTTCAGGTGTTCATCATTATACGTCGACTTCTTTGTAGAGGGCATCCTGTTCACACCCAGGCAGACCAGCTTCCTCTCACCACTGACGGGATATCGTGAGCTCATGCTGATGATGACAGACAGCCCAGCCACTGCAAAGTGTCCCCTCTGTGGCTGTGAGGGGGCTTCCCTGTGCCCCTGGCACATTATCTTGTGGACCCCCTCACTCTTGACAGAGGCTCACTGTCACCCCTCTGGGCTGGCTCTGAGCACAGTGAGGGACAAGCTCTGCATGCAACCAGCTGGGTACGTCCATCTCAGGGCTGGACACACATGAGATCTGCTGCATGAGGGCTGTGTGACCTGGGCAAATGTTGTCGCTACTCTGTGCCTCGGTTTCCCCATCTATAACTCGGGGCTCTGACACCTCATGGCTTTGTCAGGAGGAGTTGAATGAGAGACGGGGTTTTGGAGCCTGGGCACATAAACAGCTCTCAGCAAAAGAGAGCTGGTTTAAAATCAAAGTCACGCACGTGTGCCAAGGACAAACCTTCCTCCTGGGAACCCCAACCCCAGGCCTCCTCGGTGCCCCATGTCTGCATGTCTTTAGAAGGATGCCACTTGCCGAGCACGTGACATCCCACGAGTGCTGCATGCTTTCGTGGGTGAGCACGTTTCTCCCTTCTGCAACTGTGGGGTGGGCTCTATTCTCACCCATTTCACAGGTGGGAAAACTGAGGCCCAGGGTAGAAAAGCTGCTGATGTTCCGTCCTCGAGACTGAGATGGGAGGTGGAGGATGGGCAGGAGCCACGGCAGGCTGTCCAGTTTATGGAGACCATTTGGATTCCTTATCTAAGACCACCCCCGCCCTGAGAAGCAGGAGTTATGGGCCCTGTTTTACTGATGGGTAAACAGGCTCAGAGACATGCCAGGGTGATTTCCCCGAATTCAGTTAGTCGGTCCCAGAGCGGGTGGGAACCCAGGTTTCCTGACTCCCAGCCCAGTGTTGTTGCCATGGCAACCCACGTCCTCCGCATCATCACCCACAGGCCCAGGGGGTCAAACGGTCCCTAGGACTAGGTGGGCTGGGGTGGCTCAGTGCTGTGCGGTGGGAAGGGTGGTGGCAGGCAGAGTTAACGGGATGGGGGACAGTCCGCCCAGGTCAGGCCCCAAGGACGGGGAGCGGCTAGGCCAGAGGATCTGGATGGACGGACGTAGCTCGAGCACCGTGGGGATAGGAGATCCGCCCGGACCAATGGAGGGAAAATACTAACCCTTGTATTTTTATATGATTACTTATTCATCGGGCAGCAGAGGTCTTAATAGAAACCAGATGTGGGAAGCGACTCAATTCCAGCGCCTGGGACTCATTAGGGCTGTGCCCTCCCCCTCCCCTGAAAACGCCCATTGCTTTGCAGAGCATCAGGGATCAAAGAGAGCCATCCTCCGACTTTGGCCTTGGGGGTGGGCAGGAGGGGTCAGCCTCCGGGTCAAACCTGCCCATCTGGATGTGAGGGGGTCACCCAGTGTCCTGGGTTTGCCCCGAACATAGGCAGCCTCCCAAGTCCCTTCGCCTTCGGCCTGGGAACCCCCATCTGTCACTGGCCACAGACCCTTCTGAATGTGGCTGCTTCCCAGGGGTTTGTGCCCAATTTTTCCTGCTTATTCCACACCAACCCCTCAGGAGGCTCCAGAAGAGTCGTCCCCAGCCCAGAAGTTTGCCCTCAGTTGGGGGATCACCCGGCTTACTGGAGACCCCCAGGGTCCAGGAGCTGTGGCTGGACCACAGGGTGCGGGAGAAGTGCCACCCCGAGGCCAGGCCCCTGGGAAGGCCTGTGAGGGGGTGCATTCTGGGGGGATGACCTAAGCGAAGGTTTGAAGGTCAGACGCCCCCTCCTCCACGAGAGAAATCTGCCCTCCACTCTCCCACCCCCCACGCCTCGCATTCTGGCCGCTCTGGGGACAGGGGCCCCTGTGAGCTGGTAGCACAGCCTCTTTCCCCTTTG